TTTATAGATATAAGATGATATATATGTTGTATTAATAGATGCAAAATATTATAGATGTATTAATATTTTATTAAATGTGTTTTGTTTGAACATGAATTGTGATTTTGAAACTAAAGAACCCACAAAATTGGTGTCAGAATCGGGATCAAATTAAAAGCAACAAATAGAGGAATATGAAGCAATGTTGGATGACAGAAGGAATATTTCTGTTAATAGTGAAATCGATGCATCAACTGCTCGAATTGTCAATGACTCTTCTTTCGCTGCTGTTGATGAAGATCATGAGCTAAAACAAAATGTTAGTAAGTCATCAATTCAATTTCCATTTTCACAGTTTTCAAATGCGTATATAAATTTTAAGGATATTGAAAGCCTGATTTCTAAATTTGATGGTAATGCTTATAATTCGGTTGACAAATTCATTGAAAACTTTGAGGATGTATCTAATTTGTTAAAACTAAATGAATTACAGAAACTGATATTCGCCAAAAGATCTTTAACTGGCAAAGCAAAATTATTTATTGAAAGTGAAACGAAAATTAATTCGTGGAATGCAGTTAAGGCTTTATTAGTAAATGAATATGATGTTCAGTATAACTCTGCTCAGTTACATGGATTATTATCGAAACGTAAAATGCAGGAAAAAAGATCTCTAATGAATTTTTTTGGTAATAAAAATCTATGTTCCAAAGGTAATATTGAAAACGCCGCTTTTGAATATGTTATCAAAGGTATAAATGATTCTAAATTTAAAAGCTATTTTTTTATGGTTGTAAACGTTGGCGAATTTTCAAGGAAAACTTTAAGATATATGAAAAAATTAAATTTGATAATGAAAAAAAATCCGTTAAGCCTAATTCTAAAACCAGACGCGACCATTTGAAAGTAAAATAAAACAAATATTCGTTGGCTATAATTGCGGAAATCTTGGTCACGCGAGAATTTTGCAAAATAAGAGCAAGGGAAAAAAATGCTTTCGTTGTAATTTATTTGGACACGTAGCCGCAGAGTGTATAAAAAATAAGACAAATATAAAAGATCTTACCATAGTGAATCATATATCTGTAAAGAAGCAATTAAATGATATGCATAAAATTGTATCGATAGATAATGTAGAAGTAAAAGCTCTGATTGATACAGGAAGTGATATAAATATATATCGGAAAATATTTATAAAGCAGTCGGTTCACCTAGTATTAATTCTTCCGATTTGATTCTAGTAGGCTTTGGTAATAATAAAGTAAAACCTATTGGTTATTTTAAAGGTTCCATACGAATTGATGATTGCGAAATTAAATCAAATATTTATGTTGTGCCTCAAGGAACAATGAAAGAAAATGCTGTTATTGGAAATGAATTTCTTTCGCAAATGGAAATTATTATAAACAAGAACGGCATATCTATGAAAGTAGTAGAAGATGAAACTGAATCGAATTTAATGTATGTAAATATAGATCAAGAAGGTGCGTTAGATAATTGTTCGAATATTAATAAAGCGTGTAAGTCCAAATTAAAACACATAAACGAAAGTTATATTCCCAATAAAACTGAAAACCCTATAGAAGAAGCAGATGCTGTTGAAAATGAATTAAAGGAAGAGGTGTCTCAGGAAGAGAAAAGTGATGTTAAACAAGGAAAATTGCAAAATGTAGAAAAAGAGAAGAACTCCATTCCTAAAGGAGGAAGGAAAAACCCACCTAAGAATGTTCAGAAAATCAAAAAGAGTAATGAAAAAATTAATTATTCCAAAAACCCCACTTCAGAACCAAGGAGTTCTAGGAAAAGAAAGAATTCAGAATTTAAGAAACTAATTGAAGATAATTCTGCTGAAACAGGAATATCAACAGTAAGAAAGAGTAAACAGCAAGTAAAATTTCGAGCTGAAGATCTGGATCCTGGTATGTCTGAAAATGTTAAGGGAACACAAGCCAAAACAAAATCTACTAATACCGAAATGTATGTTATTTTAAAAGATGACCAACCTATTTCTTTGAGACCCAGATTACCAATTATAGGTAAAGAACAACTAAAGCAGGTAAAAACTATTTTACAAATGGATTTGGATGCTCCTGAACAACAACTTAGATTTTTGGAAAGAAAAGTTTCCATATCAGAACAGACGTAGAAATATTACAGAAACAACTATCAGAAGCAAAGAAGTAGAATCGCTGCAAAATTTCAGATGAGAATCAAAGATAAAATCCTGTCTGAGAAAGAAAAGAAGTTCAACCATGTTAACCTGAAAATGCAAGAACGAAATAAGAAAGCGTATAACACATATAACCTTCGAAAACGTTCTCCAAAATGTTATAAAATTAATGATTTAGTAGCAATCAAAAGTCAATTTGGAACCAAAGCTTAAGTTAAAATCAAAGTATTTAGGCTCATCGTATAAGATTGTCAAAGTAAAGAATAATGACTTACCTATGATGATTAAAAGAAGGAGATGATGAAGGACCCGCTAAAACAACTACATGCGCTTGAATACATGAAACAAATGGATCCAAGCAGAAGATGATGTATAAATAATACTGATTATGACATTTAAAGTTGGAGCTGATACAACTGATAACCGAACTGTGATTTTTTACCTAATGATGACTTTTATTTCAGTTGATCTTACTGTTTAAGATGAAATGAAAGTCTTTCGAAAATGTTAAAGATTGAAGATATTTTTTGTTTTAGATGAAAGATTTCTGAAAAATAGAAGGGACTGTTGACGATGTATAGTTGCAAAGATCAAGACAATCAAGATGTTTCCTTTCAATATTGTCCTTAGCACACACTCTTCCCCTTTCCCTTCGTATTTCTTTTCAGGTTTCGGCTTATTCATGGTGATGGTTCTTTTACTGAAGACAACGATGATGTAAGATGACCAATGATTTATGATGCCAAGAGTAGAATAATGTCGTCGAGGTCGACGCAGGAAGGCCGAATGTGGGATTTTAAATCCTTAATATTTTTCCTCGCGCGCTGTCTAAATTTTAGCTGTTAGCACGAGTGAAATTGATAGAACTTTCGCCACTTTGTTTTATTAGAAGAGATATAAGATGTTGTTTTATAGATGTATTAATAGATGTAAGATGATATAGATGTATTAATAGATGTAAGATGATATAGATGATATAGATGATATAGATTTGTTTAGATATAGATGATATATGTATTAATAGATGTCCGCTGATATAGATATTGTTTTATACGATATAAGATGATATATATGTTGTATTAATAGGTGCAAAATATTATAGATGTATTAATATTTTATTAAATGTGTTTTGTTTGAACATGCATTGTGATTTTTAAAATGTTTCGAATGATGCAAATCTCATAAATGTTTGATTAGCGAAAGCGTCATTCTGCTAATCAAACATAATGCGTGATTTAATAAAATATTCAAGCCTTAGAAAACAGTTTTGCTTGCAATTACATACATTCATTTTTAGACGTTAATAAATTCTTCTTTGATTAATCTCTTGATTTTAAACATGTTTTTAATTTTATCTACTTTAACCTGCTTTTAATCCCATACGTTTCTGCTTTAAACAATAAAAATAATTTTCTTGATCCTAAAGTAAATTCAAGTATATTATATTTTTAATCAAGTATGGACTAGTTATCTGTGTTAAATCTCTTACATAAATTTGTAGGCTAATTAATGTTTCAAAGCTGAAAAATTTCAGTTCTAGGAGTACATTCTAGGAGATAAAAGTGAATTGCATTGACCTTCCTATTACGTTGTGTTAAGTTCTGCGGTTTCGCATATATATGCAATGCCCTACAGAAAATATTCATTTTTCTGTAAAGAGAAAAAAGGTTTGGAAAACTAGCTACGAAACTATGTAGTATGAAAATAAGAAAATGCGAATTATTTTTGTCATAACAGTAAAGAAAATACGAATTTGTTATCGTGTAGAGACATTAGGATTTTTGGAAGACAGGAGACTTGAAAAATGAGCAATGCCCTCGCCGGGAATCGAACCGCGGACCTCTCGAATACGCGTCAAGCGTGCAGACCACTACAATACGAAGGCGCGCTAAGAAGGCGGGATAAATACCTTACAATAGGATATTAAAACTTTTCAATATTTTAGCACTTAATAACTTGCAGACTTCCTTTGTGTCAATTGTGAGCGAAATGTACGCAAAATTAAATCGTAAAATTAACTACGATGCTAGTCAGATAATGCAACATTATGTCACATAACTGCACATTTAAGGAAATGTGAGATTCCTAAGCAAGAGTTCCTAATTTCAAGATGCACATATCCGATTATTTAAAAACGCTATCGTATCTTCTATCTTTATATTTAAAATTGGAATACAAAATTCGATACAAAAATCTAGCGTAAATAAACAATGAGATAAAGAGAGAAAAAATGGCTATTATTAACATGTCGCTGTTAACACAGAGACGCTGAGTTCTATTTATAAATAACCTTAATAATAATGTACAATTGTCATTTTAATTGCATTTTAGGAATGCTATTTTTGAGCTTTTCTTGTAAGTTTATCATCTAACATATACAAACCATTCACGCGTATGGAATGAATAGCGTTTCTCAAGTGTACCAGCAGTTTAAAAATTTGCATATTTTACATCTATCTAAAATTCTCATTTACTCAATTTATTTTTTAAATTTTTCCAAAAGTCGTAATTGTTGCATGAGGTTTTCGGAACAGCTACCGCTATATTACATAAATTTGTATTCGTAATAATATGCGTGAATGAAAGTTTACGGCCTTCACGTACAATTTAAAATGCAGAATGGTGTCCAGAAGGTTAAGGCCTTCTTTAAAAATTTCATAGGTAATATTTTCTTCAGTGCAGTTCATGTAGCTGCTGTATACCCCATTAGCTTACTCCTTAATTTTTAAGCAACAAATTCTTATAACGTTACTGTATGTTTGCTTAGTGACTTTGTCTGATGTGTCTGTATATTTTCACATTTTGATTAAAGTCCTTGTGAAACAGAGGAAAACTTTTTTTCATTTTCTAGAGGACTTTTAGATCCAGAAGCTGCAAAGGCAGCTGCAAATATACCTGTGAGTGCAGCTGCGAAGGCAATATATTTAACTTTACGGTAAGTATGAAACGCAAAGTAAGTTTTTCATAATTGGCATCATAATAAAAACTTCACAAAAAATTAATTACTCTTAAAGTGTTCCAAATGTGGAGTTAAACAACAGCAAACTCCTGTAAAAAATTAAACCAGAAAGGAAACAATAGTAAGCAGTTAATAAATAATAATTTTCAGCAATATTTTCTAAAAATCATATTGGTTAAAAAATATAGTAAATCAAAAAAGACATTCAATAAGAATCAAAAACTTTGCAATAGTCATACTTTATGTTTAGATACCCTTTTTGCCATTCACCTATTCAATTTGCTACAGAAGTCAGCAGGAATAAGCAGCACTGGGATGGAGGCAAATTCGGAAAAAGCATTCTCGAAACACACCAAAGCTGCTTTGATTCGATATTGATCACTCGTAATAGTCACAGAAGGTTAGTTTTGTGCCAATAATTGTGACTGTAAGTTTTTATCTAAAATACAAATCGTTTATCTGTATTCCGATTAGTAAAATACGAGGCCTCCCCCTTTTTTTTCCTGATCTAGTGGCTCTTTTCTGGTGAAGCAATTTTTACAAACGTAAGAGTACTTACAAAATATGACTGTCTTATAAATGTTGAGATATACAATACTGAAGTATTCTACTCTGAGAAGTAATATTGAATATTAATTAATTGTATAAAAACATGAATATTTTTAGTGTAATATCCGAAGGCCTTGGCCAAAGACAAGGAGCTCTCATCCTGTTATCAATTCGTTGATTTGATCTGAGTTATTCGTTGATGATCAGGATGGATATACAAAAGCATGATTACTTTTTCCCATAATATTAGTATAATTTCATCGCCGTCTTTCTTAGAAATTATGTAATTCAATAAATAGATTGGCATCCAAAATAACAACGATATGTAAAAAAATTTAAAAAGAACTTTATATAATTAATTAATATGGGAATACTCACATTTCTTTTCAGTACGAAAGATGGATAGTATATATATTAAAATATTTTTGAAACATGCAAATTTCTATAAAATTTTTTGTTTGAGAAATGATATAATTTACATAATGCATGATTTAAAAATTTTGATTAATCACTCGATTTTAATCATGTTTTTAATTTTAATTGCGTTAACCTACTTTTAATCCTGTACTCTTAGTTTTTAAATAGTAGTACTAATTTTCTTCATATTAAAATGAAAAACTTGTGGTACCTATTTTCAAATACACACTATTGTGCAAGACTTAAGCAATATATCTGATTTTGTCCGGAATTCTCCAAAACATCAACTTGGAGACATGAAATCCATACTACAGAACGAAAATATAGTACCTCAAGGATGAGGAAAGTATAGCAGAAAAAAAAAATGAACACGAGCCATACAGTACGGAAGTAATAGAAAAAGGCTATTTTGACAGAAGCCGTCGGGAAGAAAAAAAAAAAAAAAAACTGGCCAAAAGGGACAACAAGAAACCAGAGAACCTTAGTAAGGGATGTGACCTCCCATAAATGCAATGGTTTCAACAGTTTCACGGTTATATGTTGGATAACTAACCTGTTGCTTAAGTTTTGCACACTAATGCATTAAAATTTTAGTCAAGTGTGTAGGGTTTATATTTATTTTAACTAACATTTATTTTAAGTTTAAACTATCTTTCCTGACAAGCCTTACTTTCCCCTGGAACTGCCAATGCCAGAATATGTAAATTTTAGTAGAACGCGCAAGGATTCAAATTATCAGCGGAAGTAGTATGATTTAAATAGAGAGGAAACGAGTTCGAGGTGTGCTGTTCTTACTTCACGAGCGCGGAGGGACTTAACCCTTCACAAGGCTCTATCTTTTATACAAGTTTTCACAGTCACCTCTTGGTTGCGTGCAAGTTGGAGGCGCGCAACGTTATAAGTGTATACTAGTTCTCTGTGTTACAACTCCTAAATAAATTCCTAGTGTAACTAATGTTTCAGACCTGAAATATTTTGAATTTTATTTCAGTAAGCAAAAAATAATTGCGATGAGACCCTTCAATTTCTCTGGTTTAAGTTCTGCTCTTTCATTTACACGTACGTTACCCTTCCTAGTGAAAATATAAGTTTTTTTGGAAGCAGAAAAAGTTCGGAAAACTACCAACCAAATTATGTGATCTACAAGAAGTTAAAAGAAATAAAAAAATAGATATGTAACGATTGCATAAAATGTAATCAGATGCGAATATCTTTTGACATTTATAAATGTAAAGGAAACATCCTGTTACAGAAAGTTAGTATTTTCCACTAATTTAGCACATAAAGACCTGTAGCCTTCCTTTGTGCTAACACTGAGTGAAAAGTAAATAAATGGAAACACAAAAATTAATTATACTAATGCATAGTGAGGCAATGCTATCGCTGTGAGTCACATAAATGCACATTTAAAGAAATGTTCGACTCCTAAGCAAATTTTGGGCCGACCAACGGCTGAGCAGTAAAGTCGCTGAACAGTGGTATTTTGGACCGGGGTTCGAATCCCACGAACGGGCTGGCTGCATGGGCGTTTTCGTGGTTTTCCCCATGTGTAACGTGTACAGGAGCCAGCTTTCCTTAGATAGTTCTCCGCGAAGGCGTCCCTGCCCTCAGGCAGATAGCCCTCGAGGCTTATTATAGTAATTACATAGTGATGCAATGCTATCGTTGTAAGTTACATAAATTCACATTTAAAGAGATGAAAGATTTCTAAGTAAAAGTTACCAATTTTTTTTTTAAGGTGCATATATCTAGTTTTTAATAAAGTTGTCATATCTTTTTCTTTCTATTTACATTAAGAAAAAATGTAATGATAAGAAATGCTAGTGTAAGGAAGCAGTGAGTTAAAGAAAGAACATTAAGACGCTAAGTTCCAAGTATAAATAACTTTAATAATAATCAATATAAATCATTATTCATAAAACTGAAATTATTTTTAAGTACATTTTAGGGATGTTATTTTTGAACTTTTCTTGTAAGTTGATCCTCTACAATATACAAGCTTTTTCGTGTACGGATGAAATATTTTTCTCAAACAGTTTCAAAATTTACATATTTTACTTCTAAAAGTCTCGTTTTCTTAATTTTTTTTTTCCGTTTCTCCAAAAATCTTAATTGTATATGAGTTTATCTGACCGGCAACAGCTAAATTAAACTGTTCTAAATTCGTAATAATTTGGGTGAATGGAAACGATGAAATTTACGCACTTCCCTTAGAAATAAAATACAGAATGCTTCTTGGAAGATAAATAATTTCTTTAAAAGCATCATAAGAAATATTTTCTTTTCGATTCAGTACATGCATCTGTTGTACACTTCAGTACCTTACATCTCAACTTTTAAGCAATAAATTTTGATAACGTTACCGAATATTTGTTTGATGACTTTATCTTATGTGTCTGTAATTGGCCCGTTTTGCTTAAATTTAATTTGAAACAGAATAAAAACTCGAGTATTCTTTTATTTCCTAGACCTTTCGGCGTTGCAGCTGTAACAGACGAAGATGACAATGCAGACTATTTAGGTCAACAGTAAGTATGAAACGCAAAGTGACTTACTTATGTATTTAATTTTAATCCCTTTAAGATAGTAGTAGTAATTTTCTTCATATTAAAATGAAAATCTTGGCATACAATTTTCAAATGTACACTGGTGTGCAAGACTTAAGCAACTTCTCTGATTTTGCAAAAAATTAAGTGGGAAGCATGAAATGCATACTACAGATGCAGAAAGTTGTACGTAAAGGATGAGGAAATTATAGCAGATAAAAAAAAGGAAAGAAAAAAAGAAGAGGACCCATACAACACGGAACAAATAGATAAAGGCTTTATTTTACAGAACTGCGTTTGTACAAAAACTCTCTGGTGAAGAGGAACAGCAACAAACAGAGAACTTAAGAAGGGATATGTCCCCATATAACTGCAAAGTTCCGTTGCACAGTTTGTCGATACTCGGTTGTCTGGCGTTCTCCGGAGGGTAAAAGCCTAACGTCAACCCTCTCCTTAAAGTACCCAACACATTTTCAATGGGATTTAAATCAGGTAAGCACGCTGTCCAATCCATTGTATGGGTATCTTCACTTTCTGGGAGCTCCTCCACAGCATGAAACCTGAGTAACCGTGCATTTTATCCAAAAATCAAAGAACGAGTGTCACCGCGAAAAAGACGCATGTGAAGGAGGATAACTTCATCACAGTAACGACAGAGTGAACCTCTGTCGAAATTGTGAAGCTCCATCCTTCCGTTCATCATAATGCTCCCCGAATAAGCACATTTGGACCATCTGAAAGGTCTGTTTCCCTGGTGTTTATGGATTGAGAGTGCGTTCCTACTTCTCTCCGCATGAATAGGAGCCGAGAATCGTTTTTCAGACTGAAATAAGTCTCTTAGGTTAAGATGACTTGACTCCATTGATGAGGTGGCCAGCCTACCACGGCAAACGCTGCCGCCAATGGGTGCTGTTAATGGTATGCAGAGTTCAGTACGGCGGGCAAATAGGCTACCTTTGTTATGTCGTCCAGCGTCCAGTAAACTGGGACACCTGTCCTCCGATTGCCGTGAGCAACTTCTGAACAATGTCGCCTCTGTCTGGTTTCAACCTCCTTTCAACTGCAGGAACGTACTTGCCGTTTACAAGGCTTTCCAAGCTCATGAAAGTTCACTTTTATCAATAGGAATCTTTTGGGGGACAGACGTTAAACTACGCCTCTCCTCAAGCTTTCATTCATTCTTCCATGTGTAAACGCCTCTTGAGGTTTTCCGACAGCCATATTGCAAGCACAGTGTCGTTTTCACTCGCAGACGCCGCCCAGATGGTAAAGTGGTTAGAGAAGGCTGCCGCGGGACCGAAGGGCCTGGCTTCGAATCCCGAAGAAGCTATGGTTCTAATCGTCCGTCCCTTCATAGAAGGTAACAGTGGCCGCCTATTAGGTGCCTCCACAATAAAATGACCGCAGCTTCTGGACTGAGGAATGATCAATGCAAAATAGGCAAGTGCCTGTCATTGGGAGAGGGGAACTTTCACTCGTAGAAGAATCCAAAATGAAATGCGACTTCCTTTTAAGTTGCGTAGCCCTACAAGAGCTGATCCCTTGGCCTTTGCCTGCCCTGACACATCATTTGATGCCTTGGTGCTCATATTTGAATATGCATCACCTTTCTGCTGAGTTGGTATGGTTAGGTTTATTTGATTATGGTACAGCACTCGAGGGTTGTCTGCCTATGAGGAGGGATGGTTTCGTGGAGAACTTCCTTAGGGAAGCAATCTGGCTCGTGTACACCTTACACATGAAGAAAAGGATGAAAACGCCCTTGTAGCCAGCCCCTTTTCCGGGATTCAAACTCCGGACCGAACTGCCAGTGTTTAACGACTTTACCGTTCGGCCGCAGGTGGGCTTCTACTAAGTTGGCGTTTCATTGTGCTGATCGCAAAAAGCCCTTTTCAACAATTTCATGGTTGAAGGTTGAGAAATGAATCTGTTGTTTAAGTTTTACACTTTATTATATTTTTAATCAAATATGGACTAGTTACCTGCGTTGAAACTCCTAAATAAATTCTTCGGGTAATTCATGTTTCAGTGCTGAAATATTCTCAGTTTGCTTCATTACAGCAAGTAAAAGGGTACATTCCCCTCCCCCAAGAAAAATATCAGTTTTTTTTTTTTTTTTTTTTTTTTTTTTTAACAGGATAATTTTGGAAATCTAGCAGCCAAATTATGTGATCTACAAGAAGTTAGAAGAAAGAATAAGTTGGATATATTTTGATTGCATAAATTGTAATTAGATGGGAATCTCTTTTTGTCATTGATAAACGTAGAGAAAGCAAGGTGATTCAGAAAGTTAAAATTTTCCAATAATTTAACTCCTAAACACTTGCTACCTTTGTTTGTGTTAACAGGGAGTGAAATGTAAACAAATGGAAACCGAAAACCTAATTATACTAATGCACTGTGAGGCAGTGTTATCGTTGAAAGTCACATAAATGCACATTGAAAGGAATGTAAATTTCCTAAGCAAAATTCGGCCCACCAGCGACTGAGCGGTAAAGTCACTGAACACTGGTAGTTCAGTCCGGGGCTCAAATCCCGTCAACGTGCTGGCTGCAGCGGCGTTTTTGTGACCTTCCCCATGTGTAATATGTATATGAGCTAGTGTCTCTTAGAAAGCACTCCACGAAGGCGTCCTTTCCCTTAAACAGATAGATATCGACGCTTTGCCTTTGTTACGTAAATCAAACTAAACCTAAGCAAAAAGTCTTTTTTTTTAAGGTGAATATATCCAATTTTCAATAAAGTAGTCATATGTTCTTTCTTTATATTTAAATTAAGAAAAAAATGTAAGGATAAAAAATTGTATTGTATATAAGCAACGAGCTAACAAAAGTAAAGTGTTTTTACGAGCTTGTTGAGATGCTAAGTACCAAGCATAAGTGACCTTAATAATCATCAATATAAATTATTATTCATTTAATTCCAAATATTTTAAGTACATTTTAGTAGTTATTTTTGAGCTTTTCTTGTCAGTTAATCGTCTAAAATATACAAGCCTTTTACGTGTAGGAAATGAGATATTTTTCTCAAAAGCAGTTTCAAAATTTACATATTTTACGTCCAAATTCTCATTTTTTTAAGTTCGTGTCTCCAAAAATCTTAATTTTAGCATGAGTTTTTCTGAGCGGCAATAGCTAACTTAAATTGTTCTGAATTCCTAATAATTTGGATGGATAGAAACCGAAAAAATTTACGCGCTTCCCATACAAATAAAATGCAGAAAGATAAATGCTTTCTTTAATAATTTCATAAGAAATATCTTCTTGTAGACTCAGTACATGTAGCTGTTATGCACTTCGGGGCCTTACTTCTCAATTTTTAAGAAGTATATTTTGATAAGTTTACAGTATATTTGTTTGATGACTCTATTTTATGAGTATGTAATTTGCACATTTTGTTAGCCCAAAGATCTATTACTTTCGTTTTAGCATTTTGCGTCGATTCACTTTCTGCGTTGGTTCACTTTTCAAACTGTTCAAACTGTTGCCACCAACTATTACAACCCTGTATTATATTTAAAAAAATTAAGTAATGAAGAATTTATATAAATGTATGTATGTTTCTCGCATTGTGATAAAATAACGGTACCTAGAGCCATCAAATTTTGAATAATGTAATCCTCCAGCGAATATGGGCATCTGGAAGCCCTAATTTGGGATATGTTTTAAATCTACTTCATATTTTCTCAGACATTAAAGAATTTTTTATTAAGAAACTCAGCGATTTCAAAGCAAGGAATGGCAACACTGTACGGGGGGGGGAGACATTTTTATTTTCAGCGCGTGAGACCGGAGATAAAAATTGGACATTCTAAAGATATGCACATTTAAAAATTATTTTGCGATATTGCTGTTGAAACGAATTTTATGGTTTAAGTGCGAAGAACATGATATTTAATAAATAAAGGTAACATACAAAATGTTAAAAAAAAACGCCCCCTTTGGCCGTAATGTAAAATCTGAAACCTTCCAGTTTTATTATTATTATTATTATTTTATTTTCTTTAATTTTATTTGAAGCAGAATAAAACTTGAGCATGTTTTATATTCTAGATCGTTCGACGTTGCTGCAGAAGGAACTGGGGCTTGGAATGCAGATTATTTATGTCAACAGTAAGTATGAAACGCAAAGAAACTTGCTTTTTTTTTTTTTTTTTTTTTTTTTTTTTTTTTTTTTTTTTTTTTATTTTTTCCAATTTTAATCACTTGCATCAGTCATGTAATTTTCATAATTAAAGGTTATATTCTTTTTCTTTGTAAAATGAAAAACTGATGGTTACTATTTTCAAACGCATTTTATTTTTATCAAGTATTAAATATATATTGGTGTTAAAACTCCTAAATCCATTCCCAGTGTAATTAACGTTTCAGTACTGAAATATTTTCAGTTCTATTATAATCTAGCAAGCAAGTCTTTTGCATTATGTGGGTTTGAGTTGCATGATTTCGCTTATACGTGCAGCCTCCTTCGCCTGAAAATATTAAACTTTCTGGAAAAAAAAATTGGAAAAAATAGAAGCCCAACTAAATTGTCTGGAAATTAAAAAAAGGGGGGTTGATATGTTGACTGCATAAAGTTAATCAGATGCGTATCTCATTTGTCTTTTATAACCGCAAAGGGAACACGAATTTGTTTTAGACAATTAAAATGCGCTAATATTTTAGCACATAAACATTTGCAACCTTCCTTTGTGTTAACAATCAGTTAATCTATGCAAAAACAGGAAAAAATTAACTATAGCAATGCATAGTGAGACATTGCAAAATAATGCCTGAGCTACTTTATGGTGCTTGCACTATGGTATATTCATGTTTGTGAATACAATAAAGTAACTCTGGTCATGAAGCCCCAATCTCTGTAGATAGCCGATGTTTCCCAAAAGGTAAGTAAATATCGGTATTAAAAATCATTTCCATAGGAGACTGATATCATTTAAAACTGTGAATGGTAGTTTTTGAGAGCGTACATTGTATTTACTTAAAACATGCCATATGACACCACTTGTTTAAGCTTTTGGCGAGCCTCTCCAGTGATCATGTGGTTAAAGCCACTGAATACTGTTAACTCGAATACCTTCAATTGTCCTCAGGTCAGACAATTAGCATTGATCCATTTTATTTTCTCATTGGCGAGTATAAGAACAACGAGATGCCGAATAGTTATACAGAACTGCATTGAGGAGAAAATTGTTTTTACGCTAGGCAGCTTATTCAAAGAAATCACAAAGATATGCCAACAGCTTCGTTTTCTTATTAAACTAGCGAAACCATTTCTTGTTTACTCCATCGAAAAATAAGAATATCAGCTAAATTATTATCACAGTAACACAAATAAGAAAGAATTCTCACTGAAAAAGAAATAAAAGAAATTATTCAGAATTTTAATTCTGTTGCTGCTTGGGAGGATGAATCATAGAACTAGAAAGATAGTTAGTTTGCACTTTATTCTAAAATACGGTCTCCAAATAGTGTAATAGTACCGCAAATTTTTCTCGCAATTGTTGTAAATATTACTTGTTGTGAGAGTATGAAATACAAATTGGCCAAGAAGCACATCAGGTCTAAAAGTAAGTACCTTGTGTTAAGAAATCTTACACTGTCTACAGAAGATTAACCAGAATAGTGAAATAAACTTCTAGAATGCCATCGACGATTTTGCTAAACAGAAAAACAAGCATAATAGCTCTTTAAAATGTTGGAATTAAAAAAAAAAAGTATTTTAACAATAAACACAGACCCTTTACGTATTTCCCTATAGGTTGTTTTCACATTTTGTAGATTTTTTAGTGTGAACTGAGAAAGGGCTTTCCCTGAGCAGGAAATGGTGTGGCTATGCCACTGTCAACGGGTAGCAATATCTCTCATATCGGCCATAAATAGAAGCATTTCTTACAGTGGAAGTACCAGTCAGCAACTTTTAACAATGGAGTTACCTATCATAAAGCTCTTAAATTTAGATTCTTATTTTATTTAAAACTTCTCTTATTCACATGTTCTGGCTGATCAAATTAAAGAATATGAGTATAGGACAGATTTTAACGTAATAAAAAAAAGTTTTAATTAAAACTTATAAGTTTCAGTATATAACGTAGAAATCAATTTTTAACCTACACTACTTGCTTTACAAGATCTTTCACTGTGACAGTCAAATTTACTAGTAGTAATTTTCTTGTATACAAATTTCATAGTGCTCACAATACTCGCCTAAGTTACCATACTATTTTATAAAACCCATCAGAACTGTATTATCATAGACTTGTAGCTAGTTATATAACTTTAAAATTCTGATGAATTTTCATGCGTAATTAATTGTGCAGTAAACATTTTTTTATTTTCAGAAAAGCAAGAAAAAAGAAGAAAAAGAAGTAAGTAACGCTTTTTTATATTTTCTTAAGGTTACAATACTGCATGCGATTAGTTTCTTTCTAACCAAAATATTCGTACAATAAATTAATTAATATGATAATAATTGAATAATAGGAAATAAAAAGAGTTAAAATAAATCATTTGGAAAAGAAAATAAAAACAACAAAAATAAACAAATAAAGGTTAAACAAAAAGAATTGTATAGAAATTTAAGAAAAAATATGCAAAACAGCGAAATAATTTTAAAAATAAAACTGAAGTCCTCTCTTCCCCAAATAAAATGTTAAGTTCAAAAAATCAAAATATTTTCGAAATATGTGTTTTTATAATTTGATGTTTAAGTTCAATAACTATAACATTCATTTTGTAGAAAAATTATTTTAAAACCATATATTTTTATGCATGTCAATTTACGAATAAAAATTTTTCATCTAAGCGTAAAATTTTAATAATTAACTTTTTCAAAACAGGGACAAATAAAGAAAGAATATATACCAGAAGTAAGATTAGGAAGATGAACAGAAGTTCTTAAGACTTAATGTATGTTGGAAGTTCTTAAGGCCTTCATGTATGTCTTAGGGAGAAATCTGTATGTTTGCCTAATGTATGCTTAATATCAGAAACAGTTACCAAAGAAGTTGAACTTAACATTTCATTAAAATTTGAGAAGTAAAAAATAGAAAGACCTCAGTGAAATAACTAGCAGAACTAAGGAAATCTCTATTTTCGATCCCTTATATGTTTCTGTTTAAGTTGAGTAGTACTAATCCTTCTGCGTATGTAAATCTGCCCATAGACTGTAATCAGGCACATAGACTGTGTATCCCTCTGCGCATAGAGCCATAAACTGTAAAATTCAGTTTAAATTTTCACAAAAACTTTCATTTAAGCCGCATTATAAAATGCTCAAGGATTTTGCTTCTGTTACGTGTATTTGTGAGTTGCGTTGTCATGGATTAGTAGCTGGTTATAGAATTATAAAATTTTAATTAATTTTCTGTAATTAATTTTTCATTATTTATAGTAGAAAGTATATTCTTCATTAAAACGAATTCTTCTTAGGAAGGACAAAAAGAAGAAAAAAAGTGTAAGTAACGATTCTTCTTAATTTCTGTAGAAAAGTAAAAAAAAAAAAAAAAAAAAAAAAAAAACTACTTTCTTATTCGAACACCCACAGAATAAAATCAATTAATAAAATAATGACTGATTGAAAAGAAACAGAAAGAGTTAGGAAAGTTTATAGAAGGAAAAATAAAGACAACTAAAATTTTCAAAACGTTAAATTTAAAAAAAATTGTAGAGAAATTTTAGAAAAGTGTTCAAAATAATTTGTGGAAAATACCACTAAAAGCCTTTTGCTCCCCCCCCCCATCAATAAAAAAGAGTAAAATCAAAATTATTTTCGAATTACATACTTTCTTCAATTTCATTTGTAAGTTAAATAATTATAATATTTATTTTGCAAATTATTTTATTAATATTAATTTACCAATAAAACTTTTAAATTAAGCCTATCATTTTTATAATTAATTGTTTTTTTAAAAAAAATTTACAATCTAGAAGTTCTTTTGGACTAATGCATCTTTTAGAGAAAAATTTGTATGTGCGCTTTATAGCATCAGACGCAGTTTCCGAACAGGGTAAAATTAACAATTCATTATGATTTGAGAAATCAAGCATTGAAACTGTGGGATTAACAGACAACACGACATTCATTTACTTACATTTCATCCATCCTACTCAATTACCTGTACAGCATACTGAAGATAAGTTGAACAAAGTTCACAAGCTACTCCCGATAATATCATGTATTTCCCAACAATCTCGATTCAAGTAGGCGTCAGTATTAAGGCCATATAATTTTTGCAAATTATGCTTGAACATACATTTGTTCCTACTTTATACCTCTCGTCCACTCAAGAAATGTACAAATCCGATCTCATATCGACACAAGAACCGTACTGCTAAAAGATCATATGAGCAATATGCATAACAGCTGGAATGTAATTCAGATTCCTCCTTAGCTCTCAGAGTCAACGCACGAGCTGAAATAATCTGCCCAACCAACAAACTGAAACCAAAGGTAATATTAACACGTAGAGATTATTAGCAATAGAAGTAATGATCAACAAGGATACGTAAATTATCATATCATTAACGTATGTTTTCCAAACTGAATAAATATAAGAAACAATAAAACTAAAACAAAAGACATTACTTTCCCCACTGCTCATCACATTATTGCTGATGATTTTAATTCTCACAACACTGTCTGGGGCTACTCCGGCACTAATAAAAGAGGAAACAGGTTGGGAGTCTTCATTGCAAATACTAGCCTTACCATTCACAGCATTTCTAATTCCATTTCAACGTTTGAAACTACCAACGGTAAAGGATGGCCAGATCTGACGTTATCATCAATTAACCTAAACCATAAAATCCAGAACTGGTCAGTATTAGAGGAAGATTCTTTAGCTGACCGTAAATGCATCGTTTTCATGCTGGAAGATCCTCGTCATCAAGAAATCATTAAACGTTATAAATTACCCAAAATACAGGTAAAAAAATTCATAAAAGATTGCGAAAGTTAAGTGCTGCCAATGGAAAATAGAATAAGCATTTGAAACAATTCCAACAGTCTAAAAAAATTACCAACAGCATCGTAAATACAATTCAAGAAATATTCAAAACAAGCAATAGCACACGCGATTTTTAAATGCAGTAGGTAGACAAAAGAATTACGCTCACAAAAACATAAACTATAATAAAAAATCGATGGAAAATATTATTAAAGAAATGTAGGACTCCTAATCAAATTTCGGTCAAATTAGTTGGCTGAGCGGTAAAGTGGCTGAACACTGGTAGTTCGGTTCAAGGTTGGAATCCCTCAAACGGGATGGCTGCATGTGCGTTTTCGTGGTTTTCGCCATGTACAACGTGTATACGAGGCAGTTTCCCTTGGAAAATCCTCCTTGAAGGCATCCCTTCCCTTAGGCAGATAGCCCTCGAGGCTTTGCCGTAATGTAATAAACCAACCTTCCTTCTTTTAAGAATTCAAAACATATATCTTCGAGCACAACTTTTCCAAGAACCTAGCTTTCAAAATTACCACAAGCAGTGTTCTTTCCGTGTTCTTTGCATGTTGATTACAACTCTTCTGTTTTACATTTCTAAAATTTTCCTTTCTTGGTATCATCAGCTTTTCTTCAAGTGTCAAAATATACTATGCAATTTGGATACGTTCCTTTACTCGTTGAGGAGTAGCCAAGAACTCATAAACGTAATCATAAAATATTTATAAATAGCTTCATCACTTCTATTACCTTCTGTTGAAGTCGCACAAACTTCATTTATGTTAGATTTTTGTTCCTTAATACGATAAAATTATTTCCCAAGAAACAATCTACTTTAGTATTTTCTCCTACTTTCTGTGTTTCTGGAGAAGAAGGGAGAGGAAAATTTAACTTTTATGAAGTCTTTTAAAGTAAAAGTAATTACTCAAAGCCGGTAATCAGATTAAATAAATTTAACTATTCACTGGTTAGTTCAGGTTATTGTTTCAAGCTAACTTAATTTTTTTGAACTTGAAAGCAACTGAAAGATTTAATAAACTGTATTCCAATTTAAATTAGTTTAAAATATTTTAACTAGATAAGGAAATAAATTTTATTATATAATGCAAAAACTCCTTTTAAAATTTGCTACTTGTTTAAAAATTCTTTTGAAGAGACATAGTTTAAATTTTCTAGCTATGCTTTTATGATATAAAAATCTGCATTACTTAATACAATACTCCAAACATTCTTTAATTAATCATCCTATTTTATAGCTTTCAGACAAAAGGAACGCAGACCTTACCACAAAATAAAGAAAACGCTAATGAAATCAACGAACAGGAGCAAGGAATGTAAGTAATGTTTATTCTCAATTTCTGTAAAAGTACAGGAAGGCAATAAATAAAATAATAGCTGAATAAGACGAATTAAAAATGATAAAAAGTATTATTCAGAAGGAAACAGAAAATGCAATGTTGACGTTGCATGTGCCACAAAACCACAAGAGTGCCACTTCATCCATTAGCAACCAAGAAGCGGAGTGGAACCTTCAGCGACCAACGGTTTTCCCTAGTCGGTCATTCTTTTCCCATTAAGAACTATTATTTTCTAAATGTCTTTAGCCCACCAGCCGCCGAGCGGTGGGCTAAAGACATTTAGAAACTAAAGTCGCTGAACACTGGTAGTTCGGTCCGAATCCCGCGAACGGGCTGGCTGCATGGGTGTTTTCATGGTTTTCCCCATGTGTAACGTGTATATGAGCCAGTTTCCCTTAGAAAGTCCTCCACGAAGGCATCCCTTCCCTTAGGCAGATAACCCTCGAGGCTTTGCCGTAATTAAATAACATAACCTAACCTAAATGTCTTAAATTGTCATTAACAAGTGCAGTTGGGAGTTTGTAGGTATGGAGTCATAAAATAATGCAAATTTTGAATAAATTATAAATAATAAATATAGAAAGAAAAACGTAGCATGGAGGTAAATATAAAAGCTAAAAAAGAATGGATATTAATTTCTCCCTACAGAATCATGGAAACTTCAGAAAAAGAGGATCGCAACGGGCGAGCTCATAAGTACTCTTTATTGAATTTCATTTGTAGCATAACACTTTAATATTATTATAGATATTGAGAAACAAACACTAGAAATTTTTTAATACTGTTACTAGTTAGTTATATTACTAATATTTTGGAGTATTTTTATTTAAGAGCTAATTAGAAAAACCTATTTAGTCAACGAATTTTCCTATTTTAAAAAGAAACAGCACTTGTGTAACAGAATATAGGTACATTAACTTGCTGTTATTTAACAGGGTTGACACTCCTTTTTGTAAAGAAAACGGATAATGAGGAAACCTATTTTTGTTTATGCCTAAATTCATGATAACAAAATCTCACTTGTAACAATAACTGAATCAAACTGAAAAATCATTCAAGATAAAGCAGCATTTGTTCCAATGTCTTCTATTTATGTCAGGAATGATTCGTTTCTCTTTTAATCTTCCGTCTGTCGTATCAAAAATACTGGCCGTTACATCGTGTTATTTGTTTAGAATAGTAAAGTGCTAGTAAAATTTGGTCAATGGAAGTTAAAAAAAAGTTACTAACTGAGAAGTGATAAGAAACAAAATAATCTTAGCTCAAAGATAGTGTGCACATTTTGCAAAATCGCTGAATACCGGTAGTTCAGCCATGTTTGGGTTCCATTCTAGGTGAAAAAAATATGCTGCATGTTTGTATTTCGTGGTTTTCTCTATGTGCAACGTGAATTCGCATCAATTTGCCTCAGAAAGTTCTCCATGAAGCCACCTCTCCACTAAGGCAGATATAACTCGTGTCTTTGCCGTATTGAAATAACCTAACCTAACCTAACCAACATCTCTTGTTTTAAGAGTCAAAAAACATCCTCTTTCAAGGAACTCTTTTTCTAAGAAACAGATATTCAAAATTACGCCCAACCGCGTTCTTTAAGAAACATATTAAAATCTAACCTTTCCGTTTTACCTTTCTTAAATTTTCTTTTCCTGCCTGATACGTTTCTCAGCAAGTTATAAAGTGTACTATAACAGCGGGATCTTTTTTATTTGCGTGTTGAACAATAGCCAAGAAGTCATAAATAAACTGTTTGTAAATTTACATTATCACTTCTTTTAGGTTATTTTGAAGTCATGTTAATTACATTTCTGTTCAATTAATGAATTCATTAAGCAATATGATTAAAAATATTTCAAAAGAGACAATCTGCTTCAGAATCCTTCTCTTTTTGTGTGTTTTGAGGCAAAAGGGGCTAAAACAGATGCTTCGTAACGTCAATCACAAACTGAAATTATTTCTCATATTTCCTTTTCAAAAGTATGCTACTGCCCTAATTATTAAGAATTCCTATGGAATGTTTCTTATTCAGTCCTAATTTGGGGCTTATATTAGCAAAGAAAGTTTCATTATTCGAAAGGCTACTTACTATGTTTATAAATTACATGTGAACAATTTTTTATAAATTGCTAATATCACATCAAGATGCTGACTGATTTCATCTGAATTAGAGCATGAACATTCTTTTGTTGTTGATGCATCGTAAAAATATTTTATATATCATCAACACCATTCTTTAGCCGAGGCAGCTTGAATACGAAAAGTTTCGCGAGTCTAATTGGTAGAACGCGACTAAATTTTTCTTGGATCTCTTCAAGAAAAAAGTGGGCCACTTTTCACATACAGATCACGTAACTGTTTTCTATTAATGTTTTCACCCAATTTTTTCTCAAAACCTATATATAGTATAAGGTATTTCTCTCACTTTCCTAGTGTGCGTTCGTGGTGTAGTGGTTCTGCTCGCTAGGCCGGTATCCTAAGGTCCGTGATTCGATGCCCGGCGAAAGCGTTTGCTAATTTTTCATCTTGCCTGCTTCCAAAAAATCCTAATGTCTCTACAATAGTATGATAAGTTTTTGTAAACCTGTACTCAAATTTGTGAAATGATGTGACTCAAATGTATTAAATGTATGGTATGTTTATTAACAAAACTTTTTTTTTTTTTTTTTTTTTTTTTTTCCTGCTGAAAATTTTAAACGTGTCTTACTAGTTTTTTTCTGCTGTAAACTTTAAACGTGTTGTACACCTTAATCTAAATCAATTTAGTGGCTCTTCAAAATATACAGTATTTTATTTTAAGAATTATTGATATTTAAATAAAGGAAAAATTGAAATCGCATAAATAAATTAACAGTAAGCTTAAATTGAAATAACATAGGAATACGTTGTTGGAATAATTGCAGTCTGCATTGGTAGACGTCTGGTGTATTTCATGCTTGGAAAATATCTAAAAGGAAAAAAAAGGCCTAGTAAGAAAAGGAAGCAAGTTACAAATTAAGTGATAAAAATTTTTAAAAATAATAATAAAAAAAAAGAAAAATGCTATAAAAATTTCATATTTAGAAATCATTTAAAATAAAGAATGATTCCAAAGGCCAATAATAACTATAAAAAAAAATCTGAAAGCCTTCAGATTTTATATAACGCCTCAAAAAAGTTTTTTTAACGCTTTGTGTGTTACCTTTATTTATAAAATATCATGTTCTTTGCACTTAAAACACAAAAATTTCAATTCAACAACAATATCACAAAATATCTAAAAACAGCAAAACAGCGTATCTTAGAATTTCCGATACACAAGCTCGCGCACTGGAGATAATTTTTTTTTTTCGTACTGTGTTGCCATTGCTCACTTTGAAATCGCTGAGTTTGTTAACCAAAAATTCATTAAAGGTTTACAAAATTTGAAACAGATAATTAAACAAATTCGAAATTAAAAATTCGGGCTTCCAAGTGCGACCTCGTTATTCAAAATTTAATGGCTCTTTGTTTCTTCACAATGCGAGAAACATTCATGCAGATTCTTCATTATTTAGTTTCTTTAAATATAATGCAGGGCGATAATATTTGGTGGCAACAGTTTTAAAAGTGAATCGACGCAAAATGCCGTTTTGAAATTAATATCCTTTCTGGGCTAACGCCCTTTGTACTAATAAAGTAAAAGGATTCTCTATTTTTCATAAACTGTTTTTTGAAAGGAATAACTAAGACAAATTTAATAAAATTCTTTGTAAAACCTGAAAGAAACTAAAATTTTCTAAAAAACATGTATCTCAATTTGAATTACTTTCAAATGTTTTAGATAGATCTTGAAGTAATATTTTCTTATGTAAGGCAGGAATTCATTTTTAATCTCTATAACCTGTTTAAAAAATTCTTTTAATGTGACATAGTTTACATTTCCTACTTTAATTTTCTGTTATAAAAATCTGGATTGTTAGATATAGAGTATTCTAAATACATTTTAATTAACCATTTTATATTATAGAGCCGAACCAGATTCGTATATAAGAAGCTCAGAAATCAGTCAGAGTGGAGATATCTTGTAAGTAATGCTTGTTCATATTTTCTGTAGATGTGATGTAAAGGGGAATACATAGAATAACAGCTGAATAAGATGAAATAATAAGGATTAAAAAACTACTATTCTGAACGGAAAAATATACAAAAAAATTATATTAATTTAAAATTATTGCACGTAAATTTCAGAAAAAAGTTTGCTAAATAATTTATTGAATGCAAAACTGAAAGAGTGGGAAGTGAGGACCAAAGAAATCTAGTTAGTTTTCGAATAAAGTGTTTCTTAATTACACTAGCACTTAAAAAATATGCAACAGAAACTAAACAAAAATGTACATATGCAAAAAGTTTAATTAAAAAATACAATTTACATATGAGGTTGCAGCGCCGAATGCAAATAGGCAACCAAAATTAGCATACAAAGCAATCCCGCAATCACACCATAATGCCTTAAAAAGGGGCATGCCGGTTCTATGAATCAGTCCGTAAGTAACGGTAGTTCCGTGTAATCCGAGGTAGCCAAAGCGGAAGGCATGAGCCGAAGACATCATCTGCACGATGAAACCATTGGAGGACTATCGGAATATTGCAAGCTGGTGCAAGACAATCCGCTATTGCAAGAGAGCTAAATGTGCATCGTAGTATCATCAGTACGATCGCTTCCTGTTGCTAAGTGCAAAACGCCACTAAAAGCACGATAGCTGTCGTCGCATATTTTTGCCGCCGCAGGACTGCCCATATCCCGCCAAACTGTGTCGCGTCGACTGCATGAAGGCGGACGGTATGCTCGATGACCTGTGGTTTGTGTTCTTTGTCCCCATCGCATGTCAGAGCGCGGTTGAATTGGGACCCTGAACATATTCCAAAGAGACCTTTATAGAAAAGAAGGCTTAATTATATGGCTGGTATACCATCGAACGGCCGCACCGACCTCTAAAGTGATGCCTCGTAGTTCCACCACAAGCGTCCGATATCCCAACGAAATTCTTCACCAACTTGTGCACTATTTATCGCTTCAATGGGAGCCGACGCGATATTTATGGACGATAACGCCCTCCAGCATAGAGCTCAAATGGTGCGGAGTCATCTGGAGAGTAAAACTCAGTGTGACGCTAGGCACTCTTCACGAGATATGATGCTGGACAGCATTACTACTGGAATGGGCGCTAATGCCACAGCAAGCAATCAGGAACATTATTGCTAGCTTGCCTCGCCGTTTCTCAAGCATACATTTCACCTAGAGGGTATCATACCCGTAATTAGCGTAATTTTTCCCTTGCACAATCACTTCCGACCTATTTGGTCTTTCGTTATATGTTTTGATGGTCGTAATATATGTAGTCTTGTAGGTCTTTGCTTTATTGTTTGTTGTATGGACTAGTAATACCACAACAACCTCTTGGATCAATTTTACATATATAGATTAAATAGTTGTTTTTTTCCCCTGTTTTACCTTTGTTGCTTTACCTTTGTTGTTTTTTTAGCAGGAGAGTAAATATTTATAATAATTATTCAACAAATAGTTAATTTAAAATCAATATTTTTGTGTAAAGCATATTTTACAAATAAATACTTTTAAATTAAGCTTAAAATTTAATAAATAATGTAGAAAGCAGAAGCTTTCTTAAGAACTAAGCACTTTTGGGGAGCCAGTCTATGGGTGAGCTTTATAATATCATATGTACTTACAAATGTTAATTTCTATAACATTTGAAAATTCAAAAATAGAAAGGCTTTAGTCATTAGATACAGACATTTCTGAAACTCAGTTGGCGATAGAGTATGTTTAGGATGGGATCATCAGTTCCTCCAGGTGCTGTTCCTATATTGTAAAATTCAGTTTGAAATACGGTAAAAACTTTAAATAGGCTTTATTGGTAAGTTCTTTGAGTCTGTGGCCACTATTACTGGCGTTTATTCGTTAAGAAATCTTCCTCATTGAATTGTGAAAAATCGTGAAGCAGAGTCTACACAAAAACTCATTCCTAGGATATGTTTGTTGCATGTACGAAAATCCACGAAAACATCATACAATCAGTCCGTCCATTTAGAACCGAGCCACGATCCAACTATCAGAGCCCAATAGTTTCTTCTATTCGGTCATTCTACGCTCATTAAGAACTATTGTTTTCTAAATTTGTTTAATATTTTGTATTTCATCAGAGCCATATTTTAGCTGATTTGGCTGTAATAAGTTAAGTAAAAATATTTTACTGATAAATAACATTAAATAGCATAAATGTTTAATGATTTATGTTTAAAATATAGAGTTTTTTTCAGAACATATGCATTTTTTAAACTCTGTCGCATTTTTATAATTGTGAAGAGTTACAAAAGATTTGAATGATTGAAGTCATTAAAACATTATGGGCACCAAAGCGATACGAAGCAAAATATTCTTAACTCAAAAGATAGCTTGCACAGTTTGCAAATCGCTTTCCTTACAAATGTTTTCCTTCCACCCTTGTTTTAAGAATCCAAAGCATCCATCTTCCGACAACAAATTTTCTAAGACAAATTACCACTCTCAAAATTACCACAAGCCTTGCTCTTATGAGGGACTGATTACAGCTCTTCTAATTTGTTAAATTTTCTTTTGTTGGCATCATCAAATTATCCCTACGATTCAAACTATATTACAGGAATGGAGTCTATTTCTTTCCTTGTTGAAGTGTAGGCAAGCATTCTTTATCTTGATCGTAAAATATTTGTAATTTTGCTTCATCTCATCTGTTAGTTTTCCTGAAGTCGTATAAATTTCATTTCTGTCAGATAAATATATTTTCTCCATAACATGATTAAAATATTTCCAAAGGCACAACCTACTTCAGTATGTTTTTCGCCCTTTGTATGTTTTGAGGGAAAGGATATTCAGTGAAATTGTTGTTCGTTGAAAACGTGAGCTTGTTACCAGTTCTTAAGTTTCAAAGACATTTTACCGCCCTAGCTATTAAGTATACTTATCAAATGTTTCTTATGAAATCAGGATTTGGGGCATAGTTCTCCTGTTATTGAATGGAAGTTTAAACGTTTCGAAATACTATTGCATTATAAATTATTTATCAATATTTTTTTTTATAAATTGCATAACGATTCAAAATGTTTTCATCTAATTTAAGTGCAACTGCATCATAAAATACTCTTTTCACTTCCGTATCTTTATTTACTCAGGTGTTGAGATCGTACATTGGAATATTTCAGAGATGTTATAAGGAACGTTATAAGGCATTTCTCACACAACCCTAAAATGCCTTCGTGGTGTAACGGTAGCACGCTGGGCCGGTATTCCAGAGGTCCGTGGTTCCATTCCCGGCGAAGACGGTTGCATATTTTTCATCTTTTCTGCTTCCAATTAAGCTAATGTCTCTACAACGTTAAAACAATATTCCGAAGGAGTAGTTCCACGGAACTTTGTAAATTTCTTCACAAAACTCGAAAACAAGTAAAAGGTTTTGAAAAAAAAAAATAAATAAATAAATAAATGCATGTCGGCGTAACTTACCTTCAAATATTGTTTATAGTTTAGAAACTGAATTTTAGTATATGTAAAAATTCTTTTATGCATTTAAACTTCTGTATATGAGTTAAAGATTCATTTATAATATCAACTACCTCTCTTAAAAATTCTTTTACTCTTACGTAACTTAAGTTTCCTAGCTAAAATTTCTTCATAGAGTATTCAAAATATTCTATAGTTAACCAGTCTATTTTACAGATTAGAAAGAAATGTCGAAACCGTCGATAAAGAAATGGAGCAACAAGAAAAGTAAGTAATGTTTCTTCATAATTTCACTAGAAGTACAGTAAAACAGTAAAGAAAATTATAGCTGAAAAAAAATGAATAGAAAAATATCATTTGGATGGGAAAATGCAGGTAAAAAAAATGTTCAATTGATTGCAGAGAAATATAAGAAAAAGTCTTCGAATAAATTTGCGGTATTACAAACTGAAAAAATCCGAAGCGCCAATATAGAAATAAAAATAATTTTCAAATTATGCATTTTCCGCATGTTAAGTACTTAATTATATAATTAAAATACTGGTATTGTCGAAAAAAGAATTTAATTTTGTGTGTGTGTGTGTGTGTGTAATGCTGTGCTTTCGAAGTTATGAGTCACAACCCCATTTGGGTTAGCTAAAATTTAATGTTCGGCGGATAAAAATTAAGCCATAAAAGCGATAAAAAAGCGGCTGAAAATTCTAAAAAGTCTGATTTCATGATATACAATTAAGGGTCGACGCTCTAAATAAGGCCAAGAAATTGTTTTTTAGAGACGTTTGCATTTTTGTGTGGTCGCATTGCCATAGAGTTTGAATACCACCAGTATAATGAATAATGTAAGAATAAAAAAAATAAATTAAGCATAAAACTTTTATTACATAATTTTAAAACATAAAATTTCTTAATATTTTAAGCATTTTTCCGTGGCCGGGAATGTAAAGACATGCTTTATAGTGTCCGATACAGTTGCAAAAGAAGCTGAAATTACTTTTTTTTTAATATTAAGGTTTCAAAATTAGAAAGGCTTTAGTCTTTTAGATACAGGAGTACGGTTAATTTCAATTTACGATAACTTATATGTTTCTGTTTAGGTTGAGATCATCAGTTCCCCCTTGTATTGTGCACCGACAAAAGAATTTATTTCGTTAAGGAAATATGATCACTAACCTACGGCAAAATCTGATTTTGTTTCTAAACAAAAGCTCCTTCCTAGCCACTGATATGTAAGAAGAATCACGGAAACGCCAGGCAGACATTCCATCGATTAGGAATCGAGCCTCTGTCCAACTCCCAGCTTCCAATACTTTCATCTCCTCAGCCAGTCGCCATAATGATTTATTCTTCTACAAATTTCTTTGAATTTCCATTGTTAAGAGAATCTGTATGTTTGTAGAGATGCACAACTCACTTTCTTAGCAAAGTGGCAAACGATGAGCTTAAGTAGTCCTAGTTGCCTTTCATTTGTACTATAATACATTAATGCTATTGTTATTATAATTGAGAAAGTGACATCAAACAGTTTTTAATACTGGCACTATTAATTTTTATTGCTAATATTTTAGTGTATTTTTATTCAATAGTCAAACAGGTAACCTCTAAAATCAAATAATTTCTTTAATACTTCTGCAAGAGAAATAACTGTTGTGGCACAGGGCATGCATATATTGAATTGCTCTTATTTAACGGGGTTGATGCTCTTTTTGGTAACAAAAATATATAATAAAGATAACTGTTTTCATAAACTTAAATTTATTGATGACAACATCATAACAAAATCTTGAAGTTGCAACAATAAGCTGAATAAAATTTCAAAAATTGATCAAGATGAAATAATATTTCTTTTAATGCTTTCTATTAATAAATCT